GGCGGACTTCCCGACGACGATCCACACGCTCTGGAAGACGTCCTACAGCGCGCAATTCCACAACGTGCGCCACATGCCCTACGGCATCGAATACGCGGACGCGGCCGGCTTCTTCGGCTCCGTCGACGCGCTGGCCCTCCCGGCGTCGGAGCGGCCGCTCCTCGTCTACTTCCAGGGCAAGGTCAACTACCGCAAGCCGTCGCGCGCCGTCATGGACGCCGAGCTCGGGAGCGCCATGGACAAATTGGAGGCCGTCGCGCGCGCGCACGACAAGCGGGTCATCTACGAGCTCTTGGACGTCCAGGACAGCTACGGCGACTACGCGGGGCCCGACGGCGAGCCCATGTCCTACATGGAGATGCTCGGCAAGAGCCTGTTCGTGCTGTGCCCCTTCGGGGACATGCCCTTTGGGGGGAGCGTCTGGGAGGCGCTGACCTACGGCGCGATCCCTGTCGTCGAGGACCGCGACGACTACAAGGGCTGCGCGGACCCCCTGGGCTGGCTCCGCGACTCCGGCGCGCCGCTGCTCTTCGTCGACGACTGGGCGAAGCTGCCGGACATGCTCGAGCGCGAGCTCGAGGACCCGGAGCGGCTCGCGAAGCGCATGGCGGACCTCGCCGCGTGGTGGGCGGAGACGCGCCGGACGCTCGGGAGCGACCTCCTGGCGCTGTCGCGGGCCTACGCGGGCGGCGCCGCGCCGCCGGCGAACGAGTGCGCGGCGACGCCGCTCTCGGACGCGGAGCGCGAGGCCTACCAGTCCCGCGCGGCCGCGTACTTCGCGGAGCCGGACTGGTTCTCGTCGTTCCGGGACGACCCGTCCTACCCGATGACCTGGTGCTCCAAGGTCCAGAACAACGTCGACGAGACCGACGCGTGCTTCGACGCGGCCTGCGCGCCGCCGGCGGTGAGGAGCTTCGCGTGCTAATGTCGTTGCTCGACCTGAGTACTGCCAGTGGACTGGTCACGCCCCTCCACTTGCCCCTCCCTCGCCTGGGGGAAGTTATGACCTGGGGGACGTTGTGACCTGGGGGGTACTTAAGGGCGCGGCCTGGC